CCCACCCCAATAACAGCACAAATACTGATAAAAAATTAGTTATCACATTCGGTAAACTCTTCCAAAATTTATATCTACTATTCTAATATAGAAAGTCAGTTTAATTACCTAGAACAAAGAGCTACATTTTATAGCTACATCATTCAGTTGTATTCACTGAGATGATCTGTTATTCAGAAATTACACATCTCATTAGACATTAGTAAACATTACTCAGCATGTTATAGTTAATGCATGTGGACTGATAACCTCAGTTTTTATATTTACAAGTTACATCTCATATATTTTAATATGGTTTTCAAGTTTGATGGTTAGGTCAACTCCTTCTTTTGCTAGATCTACTTGGGGAAAAAAGATCTTGGCCCTAACAAAAGGGTTTTTAGAGAACAAACTCCAATACCAACAACATACAATTTGTTTCTAGGTAGGCACTTTGGTTTGGCAAGCACCTACCATTTGTTGATGAAATTTCTAAGGATATATATTTGCATTTAATCAATAAAGCTCCTAAAAAATAATATAATCTCATTCTACCTATTATCGAGTTTTTATCTAAAGTCTAGTCTTATCTTTGAAGGAGTTTCATGAATGACAAGTAGTTCATCCACTGTCCTAAAATACTAGTCTAATGCTAATCCATTTCCCTGCCATCAGAAAGCAAGGTACTTATTCCATTTTACTTAAACTAAAAGTGGCATTACTGTAACTAAAGACCACATTTGTATCTTTCTTACTAGGAAGGTTCTCTTGGAGTGTCAAGCCCTAAGAGGCTTGAATATACAGTGATACCTCGGTTCTCGAACATAATTCGTTCCAGGAGGACGGTCGAGAACCAAATTGTTCGAGAACCGAAGCAATGAAACCCAATAGGAAATAATAGAAACTGGATTAACTCGTTCCAAGCCCCAGAAAATGCCTATTTACTGGCCTAATTTGTATATAATATGTAGACAAACATAAGTCTCAACAAGAAATAAAAGTGTACAGTATGTCTAAGGGTTAAATTCAGTGTAAAGCGTGACTCTCTCCACAAAGCGTGACTCTCTCTCTGCACTCACACTGATGACGCAAGCAAAGCGCGCTGGGCCGAATGAACGCCGTTCGGCTCAACTCGGCTCATCTCGGAAGTTCGAGTTCCAAATATTTGTTCGGATTCCAAGACAAAAGTTTCTCGAATCTCCTGGTCGAATACCGATTTGGTCGAAAGTCAAGGCGTTCGAGAACCGAGGTATCACTGTATGTATTTGTAGGGGGTGAGAAAGGGGGATAGAGGGTAGGGAGATCATTGTAATAGATTATTTTTTCAATTATCATTATTATTATTTTGTAAATATGTTTTTATTGTTTTCTTGTTTCTGAGAGAGAGAAGAAGGGAGAGAGAGAAATAGAAACATCAATGCAAGAGAGAAGCATCGATTGGCTGCCTCCTGCACACCCCTACTGGGGATAGAGCCCATAACCCAGGCATGTGCCCCAACCAGCACATGGAACGATGCTCAATCCACTGAGCCACGCCGGCTGGACTTCATTATTTATAAGAACACAGCTCCACACCTCATTTTTCCTTTGTAACAAAACACATGCAAAATTTCTTATCAAGTCCAGCTCTGGCTAATCAAAGAAACCACTACTTTTAGCTCAGAAAGTTTCATGTTTACCACCAGAGAGCCTCAAACCCATGCATTTACTTTAATTTTTATTTACATCTTAATACTAGATTCTAGTTTATGTTTACCTTAAATCTCATTTTTCACTTTTATATTTATTTATCACAGCCATATCAAATCTTTGGGACAAAAGTGGAAAAACCCTTTTCTCTCTCTGAACTCAGGAGTTATTTTAGTTAGCCATCACAATTATAAATGTATACACAGATAAAATATAGCTCCTAAAATTAAAATATAATGCATATGTAGTTCTAAATTCATATAATTATTCTAAACTATTCAAAGTTAATAATTTAACATGAATTTTCATGTACATTCCATAGTTGAACTAAATGTAAAAAGGACATTTATAAGTAAAAATTTTGGATATACACTATTAAATGTCACAAGATTACCCAGCATGTTTTAACAGATTAAAATATAAACCCCATCTTTCAACTTTCAAGTAAATTTGGAATTCCTTGTGTGGGGGCTTATAATCAAACCAAATGCTTTATACTCAGTGTGAAAATTCAATCACAACTGTCAAAGATCAAACTGCTACCTCTGATAATAAACCATCATGAGATATCATCTTGCTCAATATATGCTTTCAACTTGACATGTAGGCTAATAAAAAATATGAAGTTCTAGTATTTATTTTGTTTCTTGAACACAGAAGTCTCCTAAGAGGGATGATTAAAATATTCAGTCTCATTGCCTGAAAGTACAGTCAACTCTATCATCTAGAGACAGATTACCCGGTTTGCAGATTGACTACAATAAAATAGTAACAGCATGCATTGCGTTTGTAAAAGATTTTAAAATTACTATGCATCAATGACTGTATCTCAACATGAGATCATGTCTAGTTTCAACTACATAATAACTAAGTCACAACACTGCGTCTACTGTACTGTCTTTCATTCAACAGCTATTTATTGAATATTTACTATGTACCAAGCACTGCATTAGGCTATTCTGCCTTATTCATCAGATCTAACCTCTCCTCAACAACTCTTTTGAGGAAGGCATGAGGGAGGTCATGTGGTCAACTCCTTGGGAGTTGGCTGTAGTTTTGAGATGCAAAATCTAAAGACAAACAGCACCATGAAACATAAACTCCAGAAAATGTGTAGGTGTGAACCTCACTTCTCCCCCACCTTGCTCAGCATCCTGTTTTCTCTTCCTTTGCTTCCCCTGAACCTGGCAGTGTAGCTTCCCTTTGTCCTACAGCCTCCAAGTTCATTATCACCACCCCTAACAATTCCCTAGATGTTCCTTAAATGTGTGCACTTTCCTCCATCCCATCTCACTCTACCTCAAACCTCTCTGCTACTTTAGCTTGAACCACTGTCATCTCGAAGCACAAGGACTATCACGGAGTGGACACTCAAATATTTGCTAACCGAATAAGGCACATCCATCAGACATCCTTTAAGACACTGAGGTAAACAAGGGGAAGGAAACTCCAAACACAACCTGAACTCACTCCTTCTGAGCAACCACTTCACACATGTCGGTAGCACGGAGGAGTTGTCTTTGACCCCTTCCTTTTTTCCTTCACCTCACACTGCCATCCCTGTCATCTGCTCAGCCACATTTCCTGTCAGGCTCCTGGATCACAGCTCAGTCAGTGACGGAGCCTCTCCACTGTGGTCCTGTAACCAGCGCCGTCCAGAACTGTCTGTGGTGATGCAAATGTGCTGTTCGCTACCAGCATGTGTGGACACCGACTCACTTCAAGAATTACATCTTTAATTTGATTTAAATTTTAATTAATTTACATTTCAATAGACACATTTGGCTATTGGTGGCAGTACTGGACAGTGTAGCTTACTGTTTTCTATACTCCTAGCAGAATCATTTCCTACAAGATATCTGATAACATCACTTGCCTTGTAGAAATAACATGTCTCATAAAACCTTCACCATAAGGTGACATGTCCAGCTTTTCACGATCTAGACCAATTTACTATCACATTTCCATTTTCTCCTCTGCTCTCCCATTTAGGCTCTGACGATGCTGTAACCTTTTATACAAACTGTTGATTCTTGCTTTGAAAGCCTTTGCCTCTCAGGGAACATCCACTCACTCTTCCAAATCAGCTCAAATTCCTATTCCTCTCTGAATACTTAATTGCCCTCCCTTCTCTCTCTTAACTGGTGCCGTAACTTTTTGTATATAAGCTCCATTAAAACATTCGATCACAATGAATGATTTAAATGTTAAAAATGTAAGTTCCACGCATCTAGGTAAATGTTAATCACATATAATTAATGAAATGATCAAGTCTAGCATTCGGCACACGAGTAGTAGGCAAGCACTCTATAAATGTACAAAGTCTTCAATACATGTGTTAGAATGACATCATCCATGCTACAGAGCTTCACAGAATACAGAAGGCCAAGAAAGCAAGGAGAGGAAAATAAAATGACCGGGACGGGAGAGAGGAGAAGCTCACAAGGTGTGATACCAGTGGGAGACGGAGGTCGGGGAACTCACGGAAGAAAAGTCATGAAAGTACCAAGCAATTAACTATTCAGCAAACCCATAGCTAAAGCTGAACTTGTCTCTCACCTTCCCTTCCGAATTGGTAACAGCAATAATCAGATTCCTTAGTCAGGGAGGGGAGATGTTACCAGGTCAAGAACAAGAGAAAGCTGTTCTTGTGATGTGTAACTGAGAAGAATTTGTTATCAGCAGATCAATAAAGCACTATGACTGTGGCCCATCATTTAGGAAAGAGCTCTGTTACATAAAACATTGAACCCAGCAGGAAGAAAAATCTCCAAACTTACTCAATTTTCATACCCTCTAAAATTATATATAAATAGAAACATTTCAAAATCTGATTTATGTTTATTCCCCTTTATAAAAAGCAATCTCACTTTTCTCTCCCTTTAGTCTGTTTGCGAAAAAAAAAATGAATGCAAAAAAGTATTTAAATAGTTAAAGGTAGAAATTTTAGTGGCAATCTTAAGCAAGTCTCAATATATATGCAGGTAACAGAACTGAATAACTATTAGGTTTAAATAATATTTTGATGTTCCATTTCACTAGTTTGAGAAAGCACAGGTTTACAACATAATTTTGTTATTAAACAAAATCTTTCAGTAGGGTATGCAGATCACAGGAAATTAATATTTGGATTTAGTTCAGAGGTTGAGTAAATTAGCTGAGTTCACTATGGGTTTGGGTTCATGGTTCAGTTCAAGTTCTTGATAATAAGCACATCAAAATAAAAATATGTAAATAATGTAATCAGGGTTGACATTTTACATGTAAGTGTGCAAGCAAAAATATGGGCTTTAAAGAAAAAAACAAACAAACAAACAAACAAACAAACTCACTTTACAGAGAGAGCTAAGGTTAAATCCAAAGGTTTGAGCATTCCGGGAGCCGGCATTCATGTAGTTTCCCATTAGCAATACAAGTTCCAGCAACTTGCTAAAGCTTTTGCTCTTCTTTATCTCTTCGCAGGCAGTGCTGACAGCCATGATGTCAGGTTTGATGTTATTCACCTGCTCTTCAAACTGAAGCTTAAAGAGAATAGCACTGAGCCGCGGCCGCAGTCTCTTCACATTGCTCATCTGATTGAAAAGAAAATAGCAGATTTCCTTTAAAATGCATGGTATACTTTTGTACTGTAAGACTGCAAGTAATCTGGGATGATTTATTGGTATGACAGTACCAAAGAAGCAATATGTCCCCTAAAACTCACAGCACATAGCACAGAGAAAAGCCCTGCTTTGTTTTTCTGAGGAGTCCAGAGTTCTCTCTCAAAAACAATTTTTTTTAAAATCAATAATTTAGATGTTTAATGAAAAGAAAGATTTAATTAAATGATAAAGTTTAATTAAGTCATAAAGTACTTATTTTTTACAACTAATTTTTAAAAAGAAGATACAGAGGCAACAAATTAGAAAGCATTCATGTCATTAATTTTTTGTTCAAACCAAAACATGCTGGGTCATGTTTAGAACATACTCAGAAAGGTATAAAAAAAGAGTTTGTTTTTTCCAATAGCAATTGCTGTCCTCAGAAGTACTGCTGACTAACAATACATGTTAGATTGAGGGAGAGTAAATAGGTCCCAATTTGTACTAAATTGACTTTTTCAGCAACTCAGGAAAGCGGAATGACTCCTGACATACTAATCAGCAGAGCCGGGGTCAGGAAACCGGCAGAACAGGACACAGTAGTGCGAAGCCCCGAGTCCGCTGGGGACTCGGGGTTGCCCTGCTGGGAAGGTAGGGGGCTGAAAGTGTCCAAAAAGGGGGGGAGGCACAAAAGGGCCAGAGGGTCAGCGAGTTCTTGCCTTAAACTTACTCCTCATGTTCACACAACACATGTGAGGGAATAGCCACTTACCTGAAGGTTGAGGACATAAGTCATCTACTAAGCTATATATGAATTCCTTGATCAAATGTATTAGGAATTTGAGACTTAAAGCAGATTGATGGGGCAGTAACAGTACAACTCTTGAACTTCAACAACTATTATAAACGTCAAAAGCAGTTTGGGGCAAGGTCAGGAAAGAAATGATGACAAGAACATGACAGGGTTAAAATAGGGACTAGTTGGGCCAGTCACAGACCCATAAGGAAAGGGTAAAAAACAATGCCTCATGAGGTGCACAGGATGTTCGTTAAGGAGATAAAAAACTATCTGCTAATAATAACATAAATGATTGTTATTTAAAATACAATATGCCATACAAGAGCCTCAATTTATTAGATCTAATAGGATAAATACAGACACCGCTTTAATGATTAACAATATAACCCAGCATACTCATCTACACAGAACTGAGCAATAAAGAGACAGCTCTCAGTAGATACCTGAGAACACACCTTCAGATGGAGCAGATTTTTGCGACTGACACGTTTCTTAGCAAACAATATAAATATTCTAATTTACATTAGTACTCTCCCCAGGCACTTGACATGTGAAATGTTTATCTGTATGAAGGCAAGATTCTAAGAGCTCAACTAAAATATTTAATAAGAAGTTCCCTCTATAAAGTACTTTAAGGGATGTCTTAAAATTCTTTGACTTCAAGGAATGTCTTCAAATTCCTGTCTAGAGAAAATAATTTTCCCCCCTAGAAGTAAGTAACAAACAGTAAGCTCAAAAAAAGACATTTTATAAGTAAAAAGAAACATCACTAACTATGGTCTTATAAAATAAATTTAAGTTAGATAAAATTTTAGAAAGACAAAGTGAGGGCCTATTAGAATAATGTTTGGATATTGAACGTCTAGTGCACAAAATCGACTTAAGTGATGCCTACTTCTCATAAAGTAATTTCAAGGATCTTAAAATGCTCCCAAATGGACTTACTTCCTTGAAATTTTTATCCCTAAACACTGCAAATGGTAGATACTCATATCACTATATTGGATAGCCCATGGCACCTGTCTGCAGTCTGTGCCCTTACGAATACAAAGTTAGGTATTTAGCACTTTTTCAATAAACATAAAAAGGAATTCTCAGTATCCCATGCAAACCACTGGTGTTACAACATACATTAATTTTAACATATATAAGTGCAGTACTTTGTGCACAAAGAGAAAAAAAGACTGCTTAAATAGCTATATGATACCGCCCAAAATATGTTCAAGCTTTCCTGCTGACAAGCTAGCCATATGCAGCCACTATAAAGTAATTAATTTTCCTAGAAAAAAAGTATAACCTAGATTTGTATGAGTAATGAGTCTACCTGGCACTAGGGACAGGTACCTTGAAAAGACAGAGTAAGTCTATGATGTAATGCAGAGCAAAGTGCTATGTGTTCATGAAAAACCCTGACAGAGCAAAGTCAGGAAAGGTAACCAAACAACAGGTCTTGGACCCACAGCCTTGTAAATTAGATGTTCTTTTCATACTGCTCTTTCTTCCAAATTTAGAAAAGTTAGTATTTTGACTGATGTGAAATAAATATATTTGACTGATGATATTCCTGACCTGGAAAGGAACATGAGAGATAACTGGGGAGCTAGTTCAAGTCTTTAGTCCACTATTTAGCCTACTCTGACCCCATAAGGGCCAAATGGTTGACCCTTTTATTAAAAAAAAAAAAAAAAACAACTCAATAAAAGCTAATGTTCTGAGATCTAAACCTTGGGATCTATGGTAATAATAACAGGGCTCTTTTTCTTATTAATCTAATCAAAGTTTGTTTGTTCAAATGGAATTAAAAAAATAAGTTTCAAATATGGAAAAATACTTTTTTAAAAACCCTGAAGAATGGTTCCTTTTTCACATATTCTATCGACACTGGGGATTTGCATTTTGTTTGCTTGCTAAGGGACCTAAAACTCTGGCTTGGCTGACAAAAACTAAGCTGAATGCAAAAATGGAGAGCTAAAGCATAAAAATAATACTCCCAATGGTAATAGAAAGTCATTTAAAAAGAAAAGAAAGGAAGGGTTATAGTAAAAGTAACTTTAAGATAGTTAATAATTAGCCCAGCTGTGTGGTCAGTGGTTGAGTGTCCACCCATGCACTAAGAGGTCGCCGGTGAGATTCCTGGTTAGGGCACATGCCCAGGTTGTGGGCCAAATCCCCAGTGGGGGGCAGGCAGGAGGCGGCCAGTCGACGTTCTCTCTCATCTATGTTTCTATCTCTCTCTCCCTCTCCCTACCTCTCCCTCTAAAATCAATAAAGAAAAAAAAAAAAAAAAAAACTTTTAAAGATAGTTGTTAATTAGAATGTTAAAAGACATTATAATTTCATTTTTACAGAGGTATCCTTTAGATTTATCATTATACAATCTTAGCAATGACTGCAAACCCACAGCACCAAAATCTGACAATAATGAGTTACAATCTAAAGATTGATCTAAAGTCATAACAAAATAAAAGTATTTGACTTCATTGCTATTTTTGGAAGCAGGGAACGTCCTCCGGCAGTCTCCCCCCCACTGCCACAGAGGGCACACGCCAGATGAAGGAACCTTAAAAACAGTGACCAGGGAAAATCAAACAAGCAAATCCAGAACTCTATGGGTAATTTTTATTTCAAATTTTGTTTGTTGGCAACATGTGTTGTTGGAGCATGAACAAAATAAGATAAAAAGACTGTTAGAGAATCAATGCACCAACAAGTACTGACTGGGTGCCCCCGGGTGCTCCGGGAGGCACAGAGGCGGTGGGTACTGCCCTTACAGCACATTCCGTATCACTCTTTCCATCTTGAAGGGTAAAAAGTAGGAAATGTCCTCAGGGAGATGCAATCCCTCATGATCTCATTATGTTTTTCACATATAATTTTAACTTTACCCATTATTCTATGAAAAAAAACAACCCGAAATCAATTTGGCAATTTTATACTAACTATGCTTAATGCCATAGCTGGTTCTCTTTATGCAGTTTCTTTTATAAAGAACAGATTTTCAGGAACCAGTTTATTCACAACTTGCTGGGTTTCCCTGCTTCCTGCCGCAGACTTATTTAGGCTCACCTCAGAAGAAAGTTTAGTATATGCTCCATTTCTTTGTTACTCTTCCCTAAAGTCATTATAAAACTACTTAACCCTTCATTTAACTTTCAACCACTACAAGTAACTTACTGATTAAAAAGCTCCTCAGTTCAGTTTTAATTGACTTACTAGACCTTTACTTCATACATTCTGTAAATACATAATTATAAGGAAGGTTAAGTGACTGCTTCAAGGTCACATGCTGCCAATAAGTGTACAGTTCCACCCAGAGCATCACAATGTAGAAATTCACAACTAGAAACCGTCTGATACTCAAACTACTTCTCTGCTTTCTGATAAGAATAGACTTTAATTTCCCCCACAGTAGTTATTAGATAAAACACTATGGAGATGACCCTGCTGCGTGCTCTGCCTACTACTACTACATATTTCTTTCCCTCCTTCTTGGTATATCCAACTATCTCCCGTTTGTGCTGAAATTTTTATGTTTTTTCCAGATCCACTTTTGGTATCCCTTGTAAAATGGACCCTTCACTCATATTTCCACATCAGCTAAGTCTTCCGTACTCGGCAGAGAGGTGTGGTAAGCAAGGAGAATGTGAAAAAATAAATGCATCTTTGTGAAAGACAGGAGTAGAGAAAATGACAAAGGGGTAAGGGAGGAAAGTGACATCTAAGAAAGAAATGGGATCTGACAATAGAATTAAGACACTTAGGAAAAAGTTTTGAGCTTGATTTTGCTAATTAAACAAAGTGAAAAATATCTAACCGTTACCATTAGCTAGCCAATATTTTCATGATGTCCAGAATTCTCAGAGAAAAAAAAAACGTTCATTTTACTTCAAGAGAGGCATCAAAAACACAGCTATTCAAGTTCTTTATGCCTGGGAAGTGCTGAGAATATATATAAAAAAAAGTTTTAAAAATAAATGTACCCTTATGATATTATAACTCCTAAGCTGAAATTATTTTAAAAATCTGCACAGCAGCAAAGTACATATGGTATGCTTTTACAGGTTTTCATAGGAGCAAGGTAAAGCCAAGAATGATTAAAAAGAATTAACAGGATACAAATGTATATTCCTCCTGTTAGCCAAAAAATAAACAATTGGGCATAGACATCAGCTATTGCTATGTCTTTGTTTAC